CCCCAAAACCCCAAAACCCCAAAACCCCAAAACCCCAAAACCCCGTTGAGATGAATAGCAGGCATAATCTAAATGTTATCGTTACCTTTAAAATAAAAATTAATTTGTAAATGAAGCTAAATCACACAAATAAAACACTTTCCATTTCAAAAACACAATCGAGTTTAATTTCAATAAAATCCCCAAAGTTAGCTTAAAATACTCAGAGACACTAACATTCTGTGATGTCTGGGTCAATTGAAACTTAATCGCAAAAGAATAAAGAAGATCAAGCAAAGTCTAACACTAATGCTTTGCAAACCGCGAGATCAAATTAATCTTGTGGCAAGATCAAGCCTGAAAGAAGTGTTAGTAGGCATCATAGGTGCACTATGGAGCATTCTCATAATGCTACTGTAAATTAGACATAGACAAAGAATAATCACAATTAAAGCTATGCCTCAACTAAACGCATAAATCATTCGAATTTTAAGAATCATTCTATCATCAAAGAAATTGAAGTTGAATGCGATAATCTAAAATCTCCTCAGAATAATCAAGAAAACAAACTAAAACTAAGCATAAAGACTTCCCATAGTAAATCTCTCTAAAGTCAGCAATTGAGTTATAATTCTAGATTATCACAGAAATAAAAAATTAAGAATGTTGTTTCAACTTAATCAATCGACTGTCTCCAAGATATTAATGATGAAATCAAGAATAGTCTTCGTTTAATCATGAAAGATCAACAGAAAGTCTAGGATTAAATGATATCATAAAACATGATTCCTTAATCTACAGTATAATCCCCTAAATTTGAAAATGTACTTAGAGACTCAATGAAAATAAACAATAACAGGCCAACTTCAGTCAGATAATCAATATGTGCCAAGAATTCTAATCATTCAAGTATGAAATCATTATCGACTTAGCAAAACAGTGTTAGGCAATCTCTTAAAAATATAAAGCCATTGGACTTAAATACCCGAAGAAGTAGAGATTACAGATAAATAGAGTAATCTCAAAAAGTGCACTACAAATAACTGGAATCTTGTTCTGGCTTCAATCAAAGTTCCTAGGCTTCTACTAATACAGGGATATAATCTTAAAAAACCATAAAAGCAATGAGCTAAATTTAATCCCTCAATAATAAGATAAAGGATCTGAACGAAGAAATTTTAGAAATGAAGAAATAGAAGGGTGCTTATTAGATTAACAACATACTAAGCCCTAAAATCTCTGAATATAGAGTTAAGAACTCAAACATTAAGCCTGTACTCCTAAGGGAATCAGTTTCTGGGACAATATCCTACTAATCTAGAGTAATGAGCTGCAAAGCTGCTGATAATAACAGAATTAACGTGCTTGAAGAAGCTGTATCAGATTTTATTAATGCTTAAAAAGTAAAAAAGGTATTTTCATTAACAGAACTTAGAAACAAAGTGGGTTTAAGATATCTGAATGGCAAGAACTTTAAATATGCATTTGATGAAATTAGTCAATTTTCAGGAGGATTATAAGGATAATCTCTTAACTAAAAAGTAAATAAGCACGTATTTCTTGGTCATATGCTAGAGTTCCTGATGGATATTCTAGATACTAGAGAAGAACATCAAAGCAAATATTTGAGAGATGGACTCAAGTAGATCTATCGCACTGTTAAGTAAGATGGAGCTCATGTGTCTCTGCCAGATCTTTATATGGCTGTCTTAATAATTAGGAGTTAAAAGCTGTCAGTATAAGATATAGATGAAGCATTTACGTTCTTTTGCAAGTCACAAATTATTACTAATTACCAGTTGGAAGCACTACTTACATCTATAATAAGAGTGTGGTTTCTGATTTATCCTAATTCATCTGTAGGGAGAGCAATTAAAAATATGAAATTAAAGGCAGAAGACATTGCAAGAGTTTTAGCAGATCAGATTAGCCAACTTAGCAATTCTAAGATAATGGCCTAATCCATCATAATATGGATAAATTAACCCATTTAAAAAAGAGACAAATCTATGGAACGAGGATAGTCTCCAAGTGTTCAATATAAAGCAAATGCAAGATAACTAGCTAACAATCATTAGATTTCTATAAATTCTGAGTTCAACTGTAAAAATTATCAGACAGTCCTTCAATAGTATATTCAAGAGGAAGACTCTTTAAGTTTTGTGAGTAATCATAATAATGCCATTTTAGATGACGAGGTGATCACAAGTAATTTAAGTTTTACTGATGAGATGTAGTACTAAAAGTAACTACCTTAAGGTAGATGCTAAACTTCTCACTACATTCAAAATGTGCCTCCCAAAGTTAATCATGAACATCTAAGAAAAACATCACAAACTTAATGCAATCAAAGAAAAAGTGTTAATGGTAAGTCCATAATGATGGAGTCCACTATCTATAATAACTAATCTGATCATCTATCTTGCTTCAACCAATCTATAAATGCCACTACCCCTAATCACTATAAGCCTTAATTGCATTAATATAAAACATAAGCCTTGAACTAATAGCAAAAGGATCTAGACAAGTATTAGTAATCTTCCTAAATGCCTACAATTAGTTACATTACTAATGATATTACTAATGACTAGACTTTAAATGCGGTAAGAAACGATAATTATCTTATAAATAATACAAATCATCATCAATATAAGAGGCCTCAAATTATGACTTAGAATCATAGTATTGCTGGATTCCAAGATATGACAAAATTTAATCATACAATTTCACCATAGAATCCTTAATAATCATTTGATGTCAGAGGCTATGAAACATAAAACTTTTACAGCAATCAAAAATAATAGAATCATCCTCCAAGTATTATAAGTAATGGTAGTCAGACTAGATCAATCATACAGAACCCTAGGATGCAGAAAAACAATGCTTTTATTCAAAGTCACTACAATAGTTTGAGTAATCATCATATCCATTAGAAAGTTAAAATAGATCAAAGAGCTCATATTTAGCAATAGATGATGACTCAAATTCAAGGGCAATCAATGGCGAATTAAAACCAAGCATCATAGCAGCATCATAATTATCTAAACTACTAGACTAACATCCCCATGAAGTCAAACTATAAAACCCTCTAGGACACAATGGAATAAAGAGGATATCAATCAAATATCAGTGCAAGAGATCTTGACTACTTAAGACTAATAAAAAATCCTCCTAATATGATGATTATTTAAGATCTGTGAATTATTCTTATAAAAAATATTTGACTTAATTATTAGTGGTTCATTATAAAATATATTATAATAAAAATATACAAATTACAGAAATGCAATCACTTTCAGCCTTCCTACTTAAGCAAAATCTTGCCCATAAACCATTAATTATGCAAAATCTATTATAGCAAGCTCAAAAAGGTTTCGCCTATCATCAGAATGTTATAGACCACTATAAGAATCCAAGAAATGTTGGTTCTCTTGACAAGAATGACTAGGATGTTGGAACCGGTTTAGTCGGTGCACCAGCATGTGGTGACGTGATGAAGCTATAGATTAAGGTTTCCGATGACGGCACAATTGAGAAAGCTGTATTTAAGACATTCGGTTGTGGATCAGCAATTGCCAGTTCTTCCTATGTCACAGAAATTATTGAGGGCAAAAAGATCGAAGATGCAATGAACATCAGAAACACTGATATTGCTCAACATCTTAAGCTCCCACCAGTCAAGCTACATTGTTCAATGCTAGCAGAAGACGCCATCAAGGCTGCGGTAAATGACTATAAAAAGAAGAAGGAGTCTAAAGTTGCAGCAGAGGCAAACCCCACATTATGAGAGAGTAAACTAGGTGGGTCGAATGTCAATGATAGAAAGTGAGACCTTATCTGGAAAGGACTCGCGCTTATACATTTAATTTAATTCCACGTTAATATTCTTATACTGAAATACTTATTTTCAATAACCCTGTCTGCCTTTTAGTATTAACCAATGGGGTTTTGGGGTTTTGGGGTTTTGGGG